AATAGAAAGGTTGGTAGCTATGAGCTCATTTAACTTAAAAGTAGCTCAAGTGATTAATGCTAATGATATATTTGATGAACTATCTTAAAACCTTTTAGTTCTTTGAATGCTCATTGAGTTATAGCATGAAGTGGTAATAACTATATTTCAAGAGCTTGTTCTGCAGGTCATTGAGGATAATTGCAAATATTGGGAAGTATTATCATCAACACTGGCAGTTGGTTGGCTGGACATTTCAGTGAGTAGCTTCGTGGCTCTCTTAGTTCTGATCATTCAATGGTTCTCTATGTTTTACAGTGATGAGCAACATGATAAGAAGATATTTTCTATTTTCAATTACAGGTTAAGATGTTGCGTTTGCATGGATCTTATCAATTGGATCAGCTTGGAACTCGTGAGGTTGTTAAGAGATCTATAAAGAGCTATTGCGTGCATGTGGCAGTTGCTTTCTTGACATGCTTTCGTTTATAACTAATCATATTAAATATTACCATCAAATGTTTAAAACTTGATGATGTTACAGTGAGACATGAATGCATTCTGTACCTACTCTCATGTCTGTTTTAACTGTGATTAATTAGATAGAAAATGGTTTAGTAGAGGCAGTTGCTGTCCTGATTTCCAAAATGCCACGCATGCGTCCCGAGTTAGAAGCTGGAAAATTTGGTCAATGTTTTAAAGCCAAGGCTGATTTTCTGAAGGTATCAGAACTCGCTAAGTAACCTTTCATTTTGTACTTGCCTAATTACATACCTATTTACTTTTTACTGATCCCTCACCCAGGCATGGGAGAAATGGCGAGCTCAAATAACTAAGCTGGAGTGCAGTGGATTTTGGCTACAATGTGCTCATCATCAGACTCGAGAGGGCTTGAGAAATCTGCTAAAAATCTTGATGGGAAACTCCAATAGTCTTTGTACTTCAACATATAATTGGATAGAGTTGTTTGTTTCTCACCTTCTCTATGTCAGGCCATTCACAGTGGTAAATATTTCCCTTTTTATTCTTGTGAACTTTTAAACATTAAGTTTGTATGTTATCATAAATCTCTAATTTTTGATATCAAGGTCACGGTCAGTTCAAGGAGATGTTTTTCTTTTTATATTATTTTTTTGAAAAGATTTTCTATTTTCCAGTTTCTTGAAAAAATAATTGACAATAAATTTAGTTGCAATGGAAAAATCATTTTTCAAGAAGAGAAAACTGGGAAACATGTTTAATGCTATGTGTTTTTCACTTCTGGAAACTCATGGATTATACGGAGATTGTTCCCAGTCTATTTTCAATTGAAAACTGTGCAATTACTATTTATGTTTTCTATTTGGAGTTATCTGGAGTTACTTTTATATTTTAGTAGCTAATGGGTATTACATGTTTGTTTTTTCTTGAACTCTATCTGGAGAACACCAATTGGACACGACTAATGCACCCTACAATTTCCTCTATGTTAATCAAAATCTAAAGCATTTTCCTTTCGGGGTGGGGTGGGGGTG